TTTTTGAGATAGGTCTTTCTCATATATAGCCTAAGCTAGCCTTGAACTTTTCATCCTCCTGCCTCAGCCTTCCCAGTATTGATGATTGCAGTCATGTGCCATCATAACCAAATCTGTTAATAATAAAAAAAAAAACAAACAAACCAACATTCATGGTCTTTTCTTTTCTTTGGGGACAGTTTTTAAAAATCCAAGCTGGTGGGTCTAGAGAGATGACTCAGCAGTTAAGAGTACTGGCTACTCTTGTAGAGGACCCTAGTTTGGTTCTCAGTACCCACATGGTGGCTCACAACTATCTGTAACTTCAATTCCAGGGGATCTGATGCCCTCTTCTGGCCTCTGTGAGCATTGCATATATGTGGTGCACTTACATACATGTAGGCAAAACAGTCATACACATAAAGTAAAAGTTAAAAAAACCCCACAAAAACAGAGCCAAGCAAGCTATAGTGTGGCATCCTGGTAGTCATACTGTTGAAGGTGAAACAGAGACTTACAAGAAGGTCAACCAGTCTGGACTTCATAACTTTTTCTTTTTTTTTCTTTTAAAGCCAAATACTCTTTTCTTTGCTGTACTTTTCTGCTTTAAAACACTAAAAGATTGGGGGCTGGAGAGATGGATCTTTTTAAAGTACCTACTGCTCTTGCACAAGACCTGGTTTCAGTTCCTAGCACCTACATGCTGGCTCACAACTGCCATTAACTCCAGTTCCAGGTGAACCGATACCCTTTCCTAGTCTTTGTGGGTACCAGACACACATGGTGCACATATACAGAAGCAGGCAAACATTCATACACATAAAATAAAATTAAAAAGAAAAGAAAAGAAGGGGCTGGAGAGATGGCTCAGCAGTTAAGAGCACTGGCTGTTCCTGCAGAAGACCTAGGTTCGAATTCTAGTACCTACATGGCGGCTAACAACCATTTGTAACTCGCGTTCCAGTGGATCTGATGCCCTCTTCTGTCCTCTGTGGGCACTGCATGACTTGGGTGTGCTTACACATTGGCAGGTAGAGTACTCAAAAAAGAAATAAAAAGAAATAAGTACTTCGGATGCCAACATAGACTTCTAACTGGCATAAAGAACTCAAGCAATGAAAACCAATAATTTGATCACCTGTTCCTAGGCAAATGAACTGAATGGATACTTAAAAGAAGTACCAATGGGCAATACATACAAGAAAAAATGTTTACCATTTTTAGTTATCATAGCAATACAAATGAAAGCACATTTTATTTGTAATTCCATTCACCCTACTCTGAATGGCTGTTAATCAAGAAAACGGGTCAGCTTCTCTATCCTGAACTGGGGACTGTCCTGTGCATTTTCCCTGCCAATAAACTCTATCCCGCTGGGAAAAAAAAACAAAAAACAAAAAGACAACCAAAAAACCAGGATGTTCATGTCTGTAATCCTTAGGAAGCTGAGGCAGGAGAATTGTTGAACATTTGGGGCCAGGTTGGTTAACATTGAGTGCCAAGCTGGCCTGAGATGCAGAGTGAGATTCTGTCTTGAAAAAAATAACTGAGGGTGGAGAGACAACTCAGTGATTAAGATCACTGGCTGCTCTTGCAGAGGACCTTGGCTTCAGTTCCCAGCATGCATAGAGTGGTCAAGAGCCATCTGTAATTTCGATTTCCAGGTGATCCGACAACCTCTTCTGATCTCCATGGACACTGAATGCATGTGATACAAAACATTCATACACATTAAAAAAAAAAATTTAAAAAAAAACAGCCAAAGACCTCTGGGTGTGGTGGCACATACCTTTAATCCCAGCATTCAGGAGGCAGAGGCAGGTGGATCTCTATGTTTGAGGCCAGCCTCTTCTACATAGGTAGTTCCAAGCCACCCAGGGCTATACAACGAGACCCTGTATCAAAACAACAACAAACCCACCAACTAAGCAAACAAAAGACAGCAGCAAATACTACCCAGAATGGGAAATGGTGTGTGTGTGTGTGTGTGTGTGTAGAACCTTTATACATTGTTGGTAGCAATGTAAATTATGGGGGTTCCTCAGTGAGGTGAAAATAGAAGTACTGTATGATCCAGCTATCAAGCTATACCAATTGTATGTACCTGAAGGAATCTGTAAGTCAGGTGCAATAGAGATACCTACATAATTATGTTGTGGCATGAGTCACAATAGTCAGGTTATGGAGTCAGCATGATTGGATAAAGAAAATGTGATTTTTCACATGCACTGGCACACGCACATGCATACACACACGCATACACACAAACACATGACCATGCGCGCCCGTGTGAACGACAACAAAATCGTGTGCAGGATACTAGATGGAGCTAAGCTAAGCAAAATAAGCTAGACTCAGAAAGGACAAATACCATGTGTTCTCTTAGGGCACTGAGATTGAATAATATAAAACATGATTGACTGGGCAAAGGTGGCACATGCCTATAATATCAGCACTCGGGGTTGAGGCAGGATGATAATGAATTTTAGTTCAGGCTGAGGTATGTAGCATTTTTTGTTTTGTTTTGTCCATGGAAGTAGAAGGGGGACAATTTGGGAAAATGAAAGGGACCTGGCGGGGAGTGGACAAGAAAGAGCAGTTGGGGTAGTGAGTATGAACAAGTGTATGTGCATGAGGATGTGATAATGAAACCCATTATTTTGTACAATTAATATATGCTAATAAAAACTATTTAAAAAATACATGTAGTTCTGTATTTAGTGCTGGGATATAATGAAGAGTTGGACAGAATGCCATTATCTATATGTTTTTATGGTAAGTATATTTGAAACTAAAGAACTTGGGTTTTAAAAATTTTTTATTATTGGAGCTGGAGAGATGGCTCAGCGGTTAAGAGCACTGACTGCTCTTGCAGAGGATCCAGATTCGATTCCCAGCACCTACATGGCGGCTGGCAGCTAACAGTGGTCCATAACTCCAGTTCCAGAGGATCTGACACTTCTTCTGACCTCCACGGGCATTTATGACAGAGGTGTACTTACACACATGCAGGCAATATACTCATACACATAAAATAAAAATAATAAATAAAAAATATTAAAAAAATTTTGTTAATGTGGTGTGCGCGTGCGTGCGTGTATGAAGGTCAGAGTGCGGCAACTTTGTGGAGCTGGTTCTCTCCCCCTTATTGGAGTTCTGAGAATTGAGCTCAGGTTGTCAGGCTTGTATGTAGGTCAGAGGGCAACTTTGTATGAAGGTCATGTATGAAGGTCAGAGGGCAACTTTGTGGAGCTGGTTCTCTCCTTTCCCCTTATTGGAGTTCTGGGGATTGAGCTCAGGTTGTCAGGCTTGCATAGCTAGATCGCTTCCCCACTGAGCTGTCTCCCTCGCCCCCTACCCTTTTTCTTGAGACTTCCCAGCATTCATCATCTGTACTGTGGATCCAGTGTACCTCACTTCACACGCACCCTTTGCGTGGAGGTGTATATAGCCTGTGCTTTGCCTTTCATTGTGCTGCTAGTCTGAAAGAGAGCCTTAGGAGAAAACAAGGACAACATGGAAGAGAATCGTACATTTATTAGACATACTCATTTGATTTTTTTTTTTTTCTTAACAACATTGATGTGGGGAAATTTAAACTTGCTTAAAAGTCTGGTGAATTTTCTGGCTCAAAACAGTAAGTGTGTTTAATATTTTTTTTTTTTTTGAGCTTAACAGAGTTCACAGATTATCAGATCCTTTGTAATAAGTAGGTGAAACTTTCTAACTGGGGGAGGGATAAAGGGTGATTATGACCTTGTATGCATGTATGAAATTCTTAAATTATCTTATTTTTTTGGATTTTGTTTTGGAGGGGGGCAGGATCTCCCTAGTTCCAGCCCGCCTGGAAAGCACTATGTAGACCGGGCTGGCCTCAATCTCACAGAGATCCATCTGCCTCTGCCTCCTGAGGGCTAGTATTAAAGGTGTGTGCCACCATGCCTACCATTGTATTAAACTGTTCTAATGATCCTATACAACAGAAAACTTTGTTAGGATTTATTTTTATATCAGTGTACATGATTAGCAAATTGAGGCTATCTCTGATCATATAAATAGAAATAGTTGACTTCATATGTGTAGCAAAATTACTACCAACTAACAGTTCTATTTAAAATTACAGGTGTTTTAATGCTTCTATTAAAAGCAACTTGCATATATACTGCGTCTTCTTGTGGTAGACAGGTGCTGGGGATTGAACCCAGGGCCTCATGCATGCTAGGCAAGTGTTCTTTCTAACACTGAGATATACTCCCAACAACATTGAGAAATGTGTATTTATTTATTTATTTATTTATTTATTTTTGAGACAGGGTTTTCCTGTAGCCACAGCTGGCCTGGAACTCGCCATGTAGACCAGGCTGGTCTTGATCTTGCAGAGATCCCTGTCTCTGCCTCCTGAGTGCTGGGATTAAAGGCACATACTACTATGCCCTTTATTTAATTATTTTTTAAAAGACAGTGTCTCACTACATATATGGTCCAGGCTGGCTTCAAACTGTAGGCAATTTTCTTCCCTTAATTTTCCAAGTGCTGGAGTCACAAGCATGTACCACCACATCTGCTTGGCACTGAGTATTTTAATCTGCCTATTGTCTAGTTTAATGAATAATATGTTATTGCAGAGACTGCTAATTATGCAGAGTATTTTTCTTGTTTTCAGTTCATGATTTCATTCTTACTTTTTCAGTTGGCCGTAAACCAAAGACCCAGCAGTCACCAATTTCCAATGGGTCTCCTGAGTTAGGAATCAAGAAGAAACCCAGAGAAGGAAAAGGTAATTTGAGGAGGGTTGTTTTGGAAATAAGACTTGATTTTCAGTCAGGTGATGTTTTTGCAGTTCTAAGGACTGTTTCTAGTATATATGCATATGGGAGTATGGTCTCATAGTATTAATCTGGGATGAGCCAGTATTATCAGGCAGTTTTATTAAAATATCTATGCCAGGTTCCTGCTTCACATAGATTGTATAGCCATAGCTATACTGTGGAGAGTGTAGAGGTGCAGACATTGTATTTGGTAATGTCCTTTGGGCAATGCAAATCACATTCTTTCTAGGGACCATTGTCTTAGGGGATATGTTTATAATAGCACTTATCCTCACTTTGAGCCTCTAGAGTAGAAAGATTTAAACAGACTTGCTATCTGTTAGGTATTTCTTTAAAATTTTTATTATCAGCGGATGTGGTGGCACACACCTTTAGTCCCAGGACTCAGGAGGCAGAGGCAGGCAGATCTTTGTGAGTTCAAGGCCAGCGTGGTCTACATAGTGAGTTCAGGTCAGCTGGGACTACAGGGAGACCCTGTCTCAAAAAGAAAAAGAAAAAAAATTTTGTTACTTTTATTTTATGTGTATCAGTGTATGTAAGTGTGCCTGTGTTGTGCAGTGCCTTTGGAGGTCAGAAGAGGGCATCAAATCCCCTGTAACTGGAGCTACAAATGATTGTTAGTGCCATGTGGGTGCTGGGAATTGAACCTGGGTCTTCTGCAAGAACAGCCAGTGTTCTTAACCCTCTGAGCCATCTCTCTAGCCCTTAGAAATTTTTTTTTTTTTTTTTTTTTTTGCAAAGACATGCATGTAGGTGTGTTTGGGAAGTGTGTGTATGTGAGTACAGTGCCCTTGGTGTTCAGGGCATTGAAATTCTTAGAGGTGAAATTACAGGCAGTTGTAAGTGGCCTGGTGTGGATATGCTCTTAACCACTAAACCATTTTTCCAGCTCTGTCTTTTAAAAAAATTATTACATTCATTTATATTCGTGCGTGCGTGTGTGTGTGTGTGTGTGTGTATGAGCGTGCATGCTATAGTGCATATGTGGAGGTCAGAGGATAATTTGTGAGAGTTGGCTCTCAGAGACCATGTGGGTATAAAGTTTCTTCCAGAATTAAATCTTCGCTCATTTTCACTATGCCTACCTAATAATCCCCTGGTTGTAAACCAAAATGAAATGCCACCAGCTACATATTTTGATGTGGTTGAATGATGTACATAGTTCAGGAGTTGTCAGGTAATGATGCTGATACAGTAGCGCTTCAAACATAATGTATTTTGAAGGTCAGTATTTTTTGGTCAAGAGATGCATACTGGGCTTAACCATGGGTTATTAATGAATTTGTTAAATTTTAAGGGGAATTCAGAATGGAAATGAAATTCTAATGTTTCAGTTCAAGAAGATAAGGCTGCAGTGGTTTGATCTGGAAGCATCTCATGTGTCCTGTCTGGATTCAAGGATATAGAAAGAGATTGTCAGCAGAGATGACTTGGTGACTGTGCAAGTGCTTGTGTATTGTCTTCTTTCTCAGGACTCTTTTCTTTCATCAGTTTAAGAAGCTCTGCAGAGCTGGGCATGGTGGCACATGCCTTTAATCCCAGCACTTGGGAGGCAGAGGCCGGCCGATCTCCAAGTCCAAGTCCAGCCTGGTCTATATAGTGAGTTCCAGCTGGGGCTACAAGGGAGACCCTGTCTCCTGTCTCAAAAAAAAAAAAAAAAAAAAAAAAAAAAAGAGAGGCTCTGCAGAGAAAAAAGAAAAACAGCTTGAAAAGTCTGGTCTTCTCATCACCACTGCCCAGTACTTTCCCTCCTTTTCAAAGGAAATGAATAAACAAAAGAATCCCTTTTTTCCTTTTGGGATTAAGTTCTTTATTGTACTTGCCTAGATTCCTTCTTTTTATGCATATTTCAACCAAGTTCTAAGACTTAATCATGTTTATCATCCTCTTTATTGCCATTCCTGAAATCTCAGCCATTGTTTTCTGTGGTTCATTTGGGATATAAACTTACACAATGCCTTTGATACATCTTCATTATTTCAAACTGTTTTTTGTGTTGTTGTCTAACTTGTCATCTGCTTTTTTTCTTCTCCACTAAATTACAAATTCCTTAAGGCAGAGATAAAATTTTCTTCTCAGTAGTTTATCCATTACTGTATTTAAGCACAGTGTGTGATAGATAACATGTAGATATTTTATTTACTTTTTATTCATGTGTATGTGTGTGTGGAGGGGTGAGGGGCTATGTGCACATGAGTGCATGTGTCTATGGAGGCCAGAGGTGGTGGATCCCCCTGGAGCTGGAGTTATAGGCTGTTGACAACAGCCTGATGTGGGTACTGGGAACTGAACTTGGGTTCTCTAGAAGAGCTTGTAAATGCTCCTAAGTTCTGAGCTATCTCTCCAACCTGAAGAGTAGACATTTTGTTTGGCAGAAACATCTTAATATTTCCTCATTTTCAGATGTTGCTAGCAGTGTAATCCAGAGCTAATGTTGTAGCTTAATGATTCATCCTATTACTTTGTAATGTTTCTGTTTATGAAACTCATTTTAAGACTGAAGCACAAGTATCTTTAACTGAATTGTTCATGTATAATGAAAAGCCTTTAGTAAATTATCTTTGCTATACTGGGTATAATCAGTAGAAATAGTAGGATTTTAAAAACTGTTTTTAGAGATAGTAACATGTTGACAATCAAATAAAAATTTACTAGCAGTTCAAAGAAAGATAGTAAGAGAATGTTTCAAGATTTGGAGACAGCTGGGTGTAATGGGTGCATGCCTTTAATCTAAACACTGAGGAGGCAGAGGGAGGTGGATCTCTGAGATAGAGGGAAGTCTGGTGTACATACTGAGTTACAGGCCAGCTGGGGCTACAGTGAGACCCTGTCTCAAAAACAGAAACAAAACAAAAAGTTTGGGTAGCTGGCACTGTAAGACAGGTATCCCACAGTTCAGGCTTATACGTTAATCAAAGAAAAGTGTATTTCTTAAAAAAGATCCTGACTGATAGGCCAAGCATGGTGGTACAAGCCTCCAGTCCTAGCACTGGGGAGACAGGGGCAGGAGTATCAATAGTCCAAGGCCAGTTTGGCCTCCATGAGACTTTGTCATACCACCAACAAAAACAACAAAATTAATTAGTGCCTTTTGGTGAATTTGATAAGGAATTAGCATCTAATTGGAAGCATAAATTTTTAAGAATCATCAAGTAAATGGATTTAAGATTGTTATAAATAAGGATGCTTTATTTTTAATTAATTATGTCGATGAATTTCAAATTAATGGCTGTCATTGTTTTTGCTTTGTTTTTAAAGGAAACACAACCTATCTGTGGGAGTTTCTTTTAGATCTACTTCAAGATAAAAATACTTGTCCCAGGTATATTAAGTGGACTCAGAGAGAAAAGGGCATATTCAAACTTGTGGATTCAAAGGCTGTCTCAAAACTTTGGGGGAAGCATAAGAACAAACCAGACATGAACTATGAAACTATGGGACGAGCTTTGAGGTAAGATTGGAAGTGTGCTAAATTTCAAGCAAAACTTACATATCTCTTTTGATTGTTTGCTATTTAAAGAAAAGCTAAAAGTCTCTTAATACAACTTTTAACATTGGGGAAGTACTTCTTAGATTTGGAAGTAGATGGGGAAAGTTTGGTCTAAATATCTTCAATTTCAACATTATTGGAAAAATCCATTTTAATAGGAAATGTGATTTTGCACTTAGAACTGTTCCTTAGTAGAAACTGTTAAATTGTAGGACTTAAAATTTTTTTTTATTTTATGTGTATTGCCTACATGTGTGTGTAAGTGCACCTGTGTCGTGTAGTGCCCTTGGAGGTCAGAAGAAGGCATTGTATCCCCTGGAACTAGAGTTACAAACGGTTGTTAGCCATCATGTGAGTGCTGGAAATTGAACTGGGTTCTCTGTAAAAGAAGTCAGTGCTCTTAACCACTGAGCCATCTCTCCAGCCCCAAACTGTAGGACTTCAAAAAACTAAATCCAGCCAGGTGAGGTGGCATACCCCTTTAATCCCAGCACTCTGGAGGCAGAGGCAGGTGGATCTCTGAGTTTGAGGCCAGCCTGCTCTATATAGTGAGTCTTCCAGGCCAGCTGGGGCTACAGGGAGACCCTGCCTCAAAAATACCAAAAAACCCCACAAAAAACCTAAATCCAGGGGCCTGGAGAGATGGCTCAGTGGTTAAGAGCACTGGCTGTTCTTGCAGAGGACCCAGGTTCTTTTCCCAGCACCCATATGGCGACTGACAACCTTCCACAACTCCAGTTCCAGGGGACCAGATGCCCTCTTTTGGCCTCTGTGGGCACTGCATGCATGTGGTACGTGTATGTATATGTATGCAAAACATGCATACACATAAAATAATTAAAAAAATTGAAAAAAATAGTTAAACCCCGGCTGGCTGTAGGGCGCACGCTTATAATCCTAACACTTGGAAGGTAAAGGCAGGTGGATAAGGGGTTCAAAGTCATCCTCTATGACATACATTAAATTTGAAAGCAGCCTGGGCTTTAAGGTCCTGTGTCCAAAAACCAAAACCAAGGCTGAGGAGATGGTTCAGTTGGTAAAGTTCTGCCACACAAGTATGAGGACATAATTTTAGATCCCTAGTTACTTATGTAAAAGCTATAAAGGTGGAAGAGTGATCAAGGAAGACAACCCATTTAGGCTTTTGGCGTCTACATGCACGAATACATACATGTAGTTAATACCCACGTGCTCATGTGTATATAACCTACAAAAACACAACACATGCCAAGTTAAACCAAAACAAAAAGAAATCACAAATGAAATACATTTTCCAAAGTTAATTTGCTTTTATTTTAGTTCTGCAAACACAGCATTATTTTGATAATGAAAATCTTTGATGAGTTTGGTCAGTTTGAGAAGTTTCTGTTACAATAGATAGGGGTAAGGGTTGTTTTAACTGAACACATTGCAGCATTTTGTTATTTATGTATGTATGTATTTATGTATGTATGTATGTATTTATGTCTTTTTGAGACAGGGTCTCCCTATAGCCCCAGCTGTCCTGGAACTCACTATGTAGACCAGGCTGGCCTTGAACTCACAGAGATCTGCCTGCCTCTGCCTCCCAAGTGCTGGGATTAAAGGAGTGCACCACCACGCCTGGTGCCCTTTCTCCTTTTTATTTGGCCTGACACCCAAGGCCGTGGAAAGGTGCTACTCACAGTTAGGTTGGTCTTCCCACCTGAATTAACTCAATCTAGGTAAATCCAGACGGTTCTCTCCTAGGTGGATCTTTTCGTATTTATAGCCAATCATGAGGGCCAGTGACTATACCGACTTTGTTCTTACACCAGATCTGAAGTATCTGAGCAGTAGGAGCTCTTCTCATCTCTTACAGGAATATTTCTGTTAGTATTTGCTGTGAATGGTTTTATAGGGGGAGAGGAGTAATACACTTGATTAATTTAGTAACTTTTCACATTATAGATACTACTACCAAAGGGGAATTCTTGCAAAGGTTGAAGGACAGAGGCTTGTCTATCAGTTCAAAGATATGCCCAAAAATATAGTGGTCATAGATGATGACAAAAGTGAAACCTGCAGTGAAGACTTGGCCACAGCTGCTGATGAAAAGTCATTAGAACGCGTGTCACTGTCTACAGAAAGTCTCCTGAAAGCAGCGACTTCCGTTCGGGGTGGAAAAAACTCATCTCCTATAAACTGCTCCAGAGCAGAGAAAGGTGTGGCTAGAGTTGTGAATATCACTTCCCCTGGTCATGATGCTTCATCTAGGTCTCCTACTACCACAGCATCTGTATCAGCAACAGCAGCTCCAAGGTAAGTGAGGAAAAGCATTAATTGTATTGGGATTTTTTGGTTTGTTTGCTTTTAAAAGATAGGGACTCACTTATACAGACTAGGCTTGCCTTGGGCTCACAGAGATCTGCCTCCTGAATTAGGTTTAAGACATGTGTCACGAAGTCTAGCTATATTTCCTTTTTTAAGAAAAAAATGCTCCTTGGAACAAATGAAATGTCCTTTGTTTAATTCATATTAGCTAGTATTATAAAAATCACTGTTTTAGGACTTTGAAAGTTGAAACAGGGTCTTCCTGCAGCCCCAGCTGGCCTGGAACTCAGAGATCTGCCTGCCTCTGCCTCCCAAGTGCTGGGATCAAAGGTGTGTGCCACTATGCCTAGCAGTCCCCAGTATCTTAAAAAGAGAGAGATTTTGTTGTTATTAGATTCTTAGACTAACCTGAATTGATTTGTTTTAAATTTTATTTTATTTTTATGGTTTTCTAGGTGGATTTCATATTCTAAACTTCAGGAATTATTAGTACATCTATAAAAGTTGGGAGTACTGGTTTTGTGCATTCAGGATTTGTATTCACTTCATTCATTCGTTTGTTTATTTTGGTCTTTTTGAGATAGGTTCTTCCTATAGTCCCAGCTGGTCTAGAACTCACTATGTAGATCAGGCTGGCCTTGAACTCACAGAAATCCACCTGCCTCTGCCTCCCGAGTACTAGGATTAAAGGCATGTACCACCATGCCCGGCTTGTATTCACCTTTTTTTTTTTTTTTTTTTTTTTTGGTGTTTTTGAGACAGGGTCTTCCTGTAGCCCCAGGTGTCCTGAAACTCACTATGTAGACCAGGCTGGCCTTGAACTCACAGAGATCATGTATTCACATTTTTAATGAGACTTATTTTCTTATTTAGTATTAAGTATAATCAGCTTCTTTCTTTTTAATTCATTAGGACAGTTCGTGTGGCAATGCAAGTTCCTGTTGTAATGACATCATTGGGTCAGAAGATTTCAACTGTGGCAGTTCAGTCAGTCAATGCAGGAGCACCATTAATAACCAGCACTAGTCCAACAACAGCGACCTCCCCAAAGGTAGTCATTCAGACAATCCCTACTGTGATGCCAGCCTCTGCTGAAAACGGAGACAAAATCACCATGCAGCCTGCCAAAATTATCACCATCCCTGCTACACAACTTGCACAGTGTCAACTGCAGACAAAGTCAAACCTTACTGGATCAGGAAGCATTAACATTGTTGGAACTCCATTGGCTGTGAGAGCACTTACCCCTGTTTCAATAGCCCATGGTACACCTGTAATGAGACTATCAGTGCCTGCTCAACAGGCTTCTGGACAGACTCCTCCTCGAGTTATCAGTGCAGTCATAAAAGGGCCAGAGGTTAAATCGGAAGCAGTGGCAAAAAAGCAGGAACATGATGTGAAAACTTTGCAGCTGGTAGAAGAAAAAGCGGCAGATGGAAACAAAACAGTGACCCATGTGGTGGTTGTCAGTGCGCCTTCTGCTATCGCTCTTCCTGTAACTATGAAAACCGAAGGACTAGTGACGTGCGAAAAGTAAACAGCAGCTCCACCGTGGACCTCAGACTATTAGTGTAGTACTGGCATAAATATTTGCAAGGGAAGTCATCAAGAAGTCAGAGGAAGACTTTAAAACATTTTAATGTGTATAAGAAAATGATCAGACTTACTGGAAATAAATTACCTATCCCATGTTTCAGTGGGAAATGAACTACACATTGAGATGCTGACAGAAAACTGCCTCTTACAGTAGGAATAACAGAACCATCAGTAAGAAAAAGGATTGAAAGGGACCAAGCAGCTCACTACAATATCAAGTTACACTAAGAGTTGGAACACTAACACTTGTAAGAGGTTACATAGTTTTCAGTGGGGAGGGGTTGGGGCGGGTGATCTCATTGTTACATATAGCAATTTTTGATGCATTTTATATGCATACCAGCAATTATTACTGTGTTTGCACAGTACTCACTTAACTGGTGCTATGTGAAGACTCTGCTAATTTAGATATTCTAGAATGTGAACTGAATGGATCCAAAAGCTTCAGAAAGAGGGTAGCAAAGAAAGATCTAGTGCGAATTTTTTTTATATCATATAGCTTAAGCTGATTTAAAACAAAGGCCTTAGACTAATTTTCGGTTTTCTTTCTTGAAATAAGCTAATGGCTTGTTTGTGTAAAGCTTTTTTATTAAAAGAAAAATTTAAAAATCTTGTACCTAGCACAGTATTGTTATAGAATTTACATGTAACATTTTATATGGTAGTTTAAGTCTGTCAGTTTCTTAATTGTGGACAAATTAACAGCTGGCTCTGGCCTTTTGCCGTAACATGCCTATGTTTCTCACTTAGCCCTGGTACCTGTGCAGACACATTGGTTTCAGTTCTACTGTCATTTGGAAATTCAGGCTCAGCATGAATTTGTCAGGTAGCTCTAGTACCTGGTGTTTGTTTTCGTTCTCATTCTTTTTTCTTTCCTTTTATCTCTTTTCTCTTGCTCCTTTTCTTTTTTTAGTTGAAGTTTAAGAGGGAAAGTACCAGTGTTCAGATTTGAACTATAATAGTTTGTATATTCAACATTTGAAGTATATTCTATTTTGTTGTACTCTTGTTTCAAAGTGTATTCAAGTAGGTTTTCTGAAATATAGAAATGAAATTTATCTTGTTTTTGGTCTCTGGTGATATTTTTCACAGTACTCAAAAGCCAGCGTGGAGAGATGTCACTTTAGTTAAGCAACAAAGTCCTGTTTTTTCTTCTCAATTACTACATGAAGAAATGCTCCTTTGGTTTTGTCCCATTATATTAATATTTAGCAACTGTGTTCCCGTTTTCTTTATAATTTTTTTCATGAACTACAATTGTCTACTTACCATAATGAACTTGGTATTTTAGTTCGCCACACTTGATGAATTTCTATTCATGCAGTACTTTCAAATCTAGCAGCAGAATGTTTGCCTAGCATGTGAAAATCCCTTGGTTTGTTCCTGGCATCTCACATACACACTGAAATCACTTAATCAGACCATTGGTTTCTCTTATCAGATCTTTTTGTGTGTAGGAAGTAATAGTAGAGCCTTTTATAGATTCAGACCTTGAGGTGGTAACAGGATTACATGAATCACCGTTTATGTATAACTAGGTCCTATCATCTACACCATAATTTTTTTCTTCTACAAAGAAAAGTCTATCTTTTAGAAATTTAGATGAACAGATTGCTTAATATTCTTTTCCCTGTAATTGTATATTTAATTAATTTATTGTGTATGCATGTATTACCTGCATGTAAGTAAGTACACCTGTGTTGTGCAATGTCTGTGGAGGACAGAAGAGGCTGTCAGATGCCCTGGAAGTGGAGTTATGGACAGTTGTTAGCTGTCATGTGGGTGCTGGGATTTGAATGCTGGTCTTTTGCAAGGTCAGTGTTCTTAACTGCTGAGCCATCTCTCCAGCCCTGTAATTGTACATTTAATTTGATACTGCTTAGGTCAGGAAAATTTTTATAAACATTCCCTTTCTAATCTTTTATCTTTCCACAAACATAACTAGTGATACTTTAAAAAATAAAAGTGTGAAGAAAAGCTTACTTGATTTTTACTCCATTTGGGAGTTAAACTCACATTCTACCTCCTAAAACACCCCTTAAATATTTCCTCTTTCAAAATTAATGCTGTACCGTTACCTTCTTTTTAGTCATGTCTTTCTTAATACTCCTTTAGGAAAAAGACTACATGCCTGGCATGCCTCGATCCTTACTGTGTCCCGAACCAGTGAGCCACACAGATTAGGTACTTAGAGATTTTGGTTAACATTTGCTAAGTATGCTGTGGAAAATGGCTAAAGGCACTCTTTTTTGAGACAGGGTCTTCTTGTAGCCCCAGCTGGCCTATGTAGACTAGGCTGGCCTTGAACTCACAGAGATCCACCTGCCTCTTGAGTGCTAAGATTAAAGGTATGTGCCACCATGCCCAACTAAGGCACTTAAATTTTAAGTGGATATTCTCCACTGTTTTATTAGTTGGTCTGAACTCTACCTGAATCTTCCTGTTGCTTTTAGAATAAATGTATCTAAAGCTTGAATTTGCAAATGTAACTATAGCTTCTGAACTCAGCCCCCTTGAACTATAAGTCAATATAGTGTATTTATACTTAGTGTCCTTCATTTTTGGAGAAAAGCCACATAACCATGGTTTGATGCCACTACGTTCCCAGCCCCACCAGGCCTTTGATCTGTGAGCAACAGCCTATGCATTTATTCCTTAGGTGATTTTCCAGTGCAGCCTTTCTCTATCCATCTCACCAGATCCTCTCATACCTCTACGGAGAATGTGGCTGTAAGCTGTGTCTTCATTTCTGGACCCTTTGCTACACAGGATCTCACAGCAGCCATACTTGTCTGTCTTAGGAAGGAGATGCCTCCTGTTCTAGCATTTCTTTTCCTTTCACATACCCTAGGTCCAATAGTTAACAGTCTATTATTCAGTGTTTTAACGGATAGTCTGCAGTTTGGACTCTAGCTAAGAAATGGTGCTTATTGAGGTTCTCCAGTAACTCAGTTTCCAAGTCAAACTTTTCATTTAAAAATTTTAAAAGGTGTTTTTTTGTGGGGTGGGGTGCAGAGAGGAGTGTTGGAGAGACAGCTCAGCAGTTAAGAGCACTGACTGCATTTGCAGAGGACTGAGTTTCAGTTCCCTGTACCCACATGATGGCTAACAACCATCTGTAGCTGCACTTCCAGGGGATCTGACACCCTCTTCTGGCCTCTGTGGGCTTTGTACTTGCATGACATGGGTGCACTTAGGTGCAGGCAAAACATTCACAGATAAAAATAAAATTTAAAAGCCCCCCCCTTCATTTGTGTGTGTGTGTGTGTGCGCGTGCGCTCTCATGTGCACCTGGAGATAGAACAACTTTAACAATGTGGTTCTTCCACCATGTTGGGTCCTGGGATTGAACAAAGGTCAGTAAGCACCTTTACTACTAAGTCATCTTACTTGCTCTAATAACTGCATATTTTTCATATCATCATTTGTTTCTCAAAGCCTGTTTTTCATGATATGCCTCTGGCTTACTCTGCCTAAACAGCTCCTCTCAGTCTGCTTCCCTTTGACTTTCAAGAAATGTTTTGTCTGTGGGGCTCCACATTAAGACTTATAAAGAGTCAATATATGTGCCCTGCACACAGCAGATACTCGTAAATATTTACTAAGATCTTATCTTGTTAATAATTGTTAATCAGCTGTATATATATATATATATATTTTTTTTTATATATATATATATATATTTTCTTTTACAAAATCTTGGTCCAGACCAGATTTTGACTGTAAATCGTAATCAGTTTATTTAATTGCCATCTTATTGCTCCTCATGGGTGCCTGATTAGTCTGTACTCTTTAGATCTGTTCATCTTAGCTTGGTGTCAGTACCAGCAGCCCATAACCAAGGTCAGAGGTCTGTAGGATGTCTCAGATACCTTACCTCATGTCTCATTCTCCAAGTCCTCTTGATGGTCTTTACATACATGCCCTTGTTGCCGTCTCTCCAAACTTCCCTCTAACATGGGGCTACTCTGATAGGAAACCCTTCCATTTTTCCTTTTGAAATCAGGCCTGGCTATGTAGTCCAGGTTTCCAGACAACTCATTTTCCTGCTTCAACATCTGGAATGCTGAGATTTGGGGAGGCAGGAGGATTGCTAAACTCTGTTTTGAAGCCAAAATGTGAATTTCATCACACACCATAGTACTTGCTTTAAAGTCAGTGGCATCTTACTTGAAACCATAAAAGATGACACTTAAGAGATGTTTCTAGCCTGTGCCTATCTCCCTAAAGCCTTTCTCTCCAGTGTGCTGCAACTGTCATGGGCACACATTTCTCATTGAGCCATTCCATCAATTGTGTCTCTTTGGGGAACTTTTTCCTCCTCTACTTAGTTTTGAATTCTTTTATTTACTAAGTTGGAGGTAAGAAGCATCAAAACAAAAATTCCTGAAATGGGCTTGGAATCCACTGAAGTGAAGAGAGTATACTCAATGACAATGGAGACTGGAAAGAGACAAGTACTCAGAGGCATGCTGAGAAGAGGAGCTAGAAGTCCAAGTTTGTTCATAGAAAATTAGCAGGACATGGGACTGGAGAGACGGCTCAGCAGTTAAGAGCACTAGCTGCTCTTGCAGAGGACCTGGGTTCAGTTCCCATCACCTACATGGCTGTTAACAACTTCTGTAGCTCCAGTTCCAGGGAATCCGACACCCTTTTCTGACCTCTGGGCATTGCACAACACAGGTGCACTTACATGTAGGCATTACACTCATATACATAAAAGTAATAAATACTGTTTAAAAAAAAAAAAAGCCAGGATAGATGAGGTATTGGTTCAATGTATGAAGGGCAAAACTGGGTGTGGCAGCTCAAATCTGGAATCTTAGCATTGGAGGCTGAGGTGGGAGGATTGCAGAGTTTGATCCACATTAGGGTAAATAGACGGTACCAAGCCAACCTGGGCTACAAAGTGAGACTGTCTCCTGCCAGAAAAAAAAGAGCTAGACGAGTGCTGGTGGGAAGGAAAAAGGCCAAAGACAGAGCAGAGATGATGTTGACAGTGACTTGCATGGGTGATGCTTTGAAAGCCACTGTGATAAGAATGCATCACCAGGGACATTAGTGGCTGAGTCTCTGATAATTCTTTAGTTCTAGTTATCAAAGGAAATTTCTAGTAAACAGCTATTACTTATTTTGAAACATGTATCAAATATCCCAGGTTGGCTTTGGAATTTGCTATGTAGCCAGGAATGACTTTGAATTCCTGATCTCTTCTGCCTCCACTTTGTCGGTGCTGGGATCACAGGTGTGTACCACCAAGCACTGCTGGTTTTGTTTTTTTCCTGGTGTTGAGGATGAACCCATAGCTTTACGTGTGCTAGCAAAAGGGCTCTACCACTGAACTAGAGCTGCAGCTCCTAAGAATTGTTTTGTTTTTGAGACTGCGTTTTCCTATAGTCCCTACTGGCCTGGAACTTGCTGTGTAGACCAGGCTGGCCCCCATCTCACAGAGATCTACCTTTCTGCCTCCTGAGTGTTGGGATTAAAGGTATACACAACCAGGCCTGGCTCTAAACAGCTTTTCACTATTCATAGTACTCCAAGTACTTTGTGGCTGTGATTTGACTGAGTCCCCCATAATTAAAGCGTAGGAACTTAAGAGTGGGAGAAGCCAGAAGTTAAGTAAATCAAAAGTCTTTTTGAGGGGCTTGAGATATGGGTCTGCAGTTAAGAGCACTGGCTGCTCTTGCAAAGGACCCGGGTTCAATGTCCAGCACCCACAGTGGTTCATAACTGGCTGTTCACTTGTCTGGGGATCTGATGCCCTCTTCTGGCCTCTGAGGGCACTGTACACATGTGGAATACATACATTCAGGCAAAACACTCATACACATAAAATATTTTTGAGGGGGCTGGTGAGAGGGCTCAGAGGGTAAAGGCAACTGAAGCCTGGCAACTTGGGTTTAATGCCCAGACTCTACATAAAGGTGAAAGGAGAATCACTGAATCCACACACATCAAGCATGTACACAATACTAGCTTAGCAGGTAAAGGTGCCAGACACAGAAGCCTGATGACCCAAGTTGGATCCTAGAACCCATGTGGAAAGGCTGATTGAGTGGCCTATTATCTGTTATCCCAGCACTCCTTGTAGACACAGAATTGCCTGGGAGCTCATAGACTAGCTAGCCTGGAGTATGTAGCAGCTCAGTAGCAAAGGCAGAGAAACTGTGCCTCAACAAAGTGGAAGGCAAGAATGAACTCCAGAAAGTCCTATGCCCTCTGACCTCACAGTCCTGACTGCCACATATGTCATGCCCACACTCAAAAAATACACATTTAAAAAAAGTAAATCTTAAAGGGAAAAAAAATGGTTTTGAGCAGTGGTCGCAGAACATCTGACTTGTCCATTCAATCAGTCATCGCTACCCACAAGGTGAACCAATCCTCTGGGCCCCATCCCCTTCTATCCAAAAATTAGCAAGATATCAGTCTATTCTGTACGTTGATTCTTTTTCCTAAGCGGAATTTTCAAATGTTACAGATTTGCTGGGCTATTCTATGTTCGTCAGTCTGGAAACCAGAAACAAACGTCTGCCACATTTCCTATGTTCAGCCTTTCATCATCGTTTTTTCTTTTTTTGACAGGCTATCATCCTTGAACTATCAATCTTGGGTAGCTTACAAATGCCTGCAACTAGGTGGCGCACACCTTTAATCCCAGCACTTTGGAGGCAGAGGCAGGCAGATCTCTGAGTTCCAGGCCAGCTGGGCTACAGGGAGACTGGCTCAAAAAGACAAAAGCCAAACAAAACAAAAAACTAAATGACTGCAAATACAGCTCTAGGGCATCTGGTGTAGTAGTCTTCTGACACTCAAAGGCACACACACACCACATTAAGATGAGCATTCAGCCTCCTGCCTGGAGCATCACTGGATTTTTCTCATCTCTGTAACTTACAGTCACATCGCAGTAAGGTACTCGTATTTCCACCTCCCATGTTCACTCTCAACCCTGACCTCTGCTCAGTTCATGAACTGGCACACAATACTTGAAATTCTTTTGTTTTCATCTAGATTTGCTTTTTTTTTCCTTGTATTTTTTTAAAAAATGAGAATTTCATACATGCATATAAAGTGTTTTAATCAAATCCATGCCCACTCCTTCCCCTCCAATTCCTCCCGTATCTCCCCATCACTTTTTTCTGATAACTTCATGTACTTTTTTTTTTTAATGGGGCTTTTGGCTACTGTAACATTCCCTCCCTCTGAAGAGGTAATCCTAAAATCTTTTAAGGATTAGATAAAAGCTCCCAATTATTTTGGACATTTTTGGCCTTTGGAATAGAGTAATTTGCTAAGAGGCCCAAGGACATTTTGAGTTTTAGCCAAGAAACGTGCTACTTTTCTTTGGGGTCTTTTTACCCTAACTGCCTAGACAATTCCTACCTCCTATTCTTATCACATCATCCTCTGAAGAGGTTATCCATATTGCTGCAAAATAGGGAATTGGGACGCAGACCACTCTGGCTTTTTGAACCATGCTGAACAGGGACACAGGGTGAAACAACTGGAGTACCCCTTCAGTGGGTCTATCTAAAAGACTCCCAAATTGCATAACTCTTGTCTCTAAGGGGAGAAGAAAGTCCTTGAATCATGAATGGGAGATGTGAAGAAGTAAAGCCAAGAGTAATTAGCATTACAAGTTCTAGACAGGGAACTAGAAAAAAAAGAACAGGGCAATTTTCAAATGTTCCTACGACAGTCCATTGGAGTTTCTTGACAAGGGCTTCCCAAAGCATCCCTCTATTGGGCTCTCCCTCATTTTTCTTTTGTATCTTATCTTTTTGAATAAATTAAGTAGAATTGATTGTGGGTTTTCTTAATTTTTTATTTTTTGGTCTTTTTGAGACAGGGTCTACATGGAACTCCAGCTGTCCTGGTACTATGTAGACCAGGCTGGCCTTGAACTCACCGAGATCCACCTGCCTCTGCCTCCCGAGTGCTGGGATTAAAGGTGTGTGCCACCACGCCTGGCCAAAACACCCTTTTTAAAAACAATGGTAATTTTCGTTAAAACTCCCAGTTTAAAATAATTTTCATTGATGTCTGCGTTTCATTAATCCAATATGGCTAACTTCACCACCATGGAGCATCTTAAATAACTGATCTGGAGATCTCTCACTGTGACAGAGGCAGGAAGACCTGGGAGCCTGCATTTTGAGGTAGAATAACTGAGAGAACCCTGAACGATTTGGCTATTGATTAATTTTTATTCTTTGACAACTTCATACATGTATATAGTATATTCTTGTCACACTCATGTTTCCACCTTTCCTTATCCTCTTCTTACCCCCACCCTCTCCCCTACTGTTCCTCCCACCAAGTCCCTCATTCCACTTTTGTCTTTTTGCTTTGCTTTTATTTTTACTTTGTGACCCACACCACAGTTACAGGATATTTTGAGAGATGTTCCATAGTCCTCTGGAACTTAATGCTATTATGTCTCATAATTATTTTTTTTTAAAAGAAAATGCGAATGTAAAAGATGTTAAAAGGATATGGGAATGGAGATATTTTCCAAAATAGAAAAAATAAGAAAGCCTAAGCAAGTGATGAAGGTCTTTGTAGCTTTGTTATGCTATATAAAGGATGAGACAAAAATAATATACACAGCCGGGTGTGGTGGCACATGCCTTTAATCCCAGCACTCGGGAGGCAGAGGCAGGCGGATTATTTCTGTGAGTTCAAGGCCAGCCTGGTCTACATAGTTCCAGGACAGCTGGGGGCTACAGGGAGACCCTGTCTCAAAAAGACCAAAATATATACATATACACACACACACATAATCTTAAAATTTCTATGGTCATAGTTTAGACAACTAGTTTAAGGAACAAAGGTTTATGAGAGATTAAAAAAATTTATTTTTATTTTACATATATGAGTGTACTGCCTGCATGTATGTGAGTGCACCTGTGTCTTGTAATGCGTCAGATTCCCCTGGAACTGGAGTTAAGGACGGTTTGTAGCTGCGATGTGGGTGCTGGAAATCGAACGCAGGTCCTCTGCAAGGGCAGTCAGTGCTCTTAACCACTGAGCTATCTCTCCAGTCCCAATAATTGTTATTTTTACCCAAGCCTTATCTACATAGCATATGATAATTAAAAGTACCAGAATGGTAGAACTAACCTTATTAGGTGTTTAACAGCCATAGTTTGAGGCCTATACTAATGTGGTCAGAGGGACTTAAAGGACAATTTTTGCCCCTTGCCCTCCAAGATTTGCTTCTTTAAGGCTGCCATAGTTTCTCTTCCAGTTTGTATAATCTGGGGTAAACAATATTCAATGCTTATACTGGTAGGTATTCTAATCTGTATTGTATGATTACCATTAGTCATGCTAAGATTTGAATCAATTCTACAACTGGTACAGATGTTTTTACTGCTCGCCATTTGTTCCAGTGAAAGCCCAAGGTTTTGTGTTTGTGGCGACACTGAAAGCCTCACTTGTTCTCTAAGAGGTTTTGATTGATATAAATGTGCAGGAGGCAGTCAGCCATTCTGGGGAACTCCAACCTTGGCACCAAGATACCCACAAGCATAGCATAAATGTCTTGAATGTGTAGCTACCTCTGTCCACAAAGACAGTATGGGTCACCATAAAACACTATAAAAAGATATAATTTACTCCCAATTTCTTTTTGAACTAAAAAGACAAAATATTTTAAAAGCACTAGCTTTAAAAGACCATTTATTAATCTTTAATATTTATAACTCATACATTAAAATATTTAACAATTTACCACCAATAGGTTATTTTGTTTGGAAGAGGCTTCAACTGTTATCACTTCTTTCTGTTGGAAGAGAACTCTAGGTTATCTTCTTGACTCTTTTACATTCTAAATATTTTGAACTCAGTCATGTGGCTATCTTAGGAATTTTTTGAGAGAGGGTCTGGTTTTTTGAGAGAGGGTCTGGCTATCTCTGAACTTGATTATGTAGCCCAAGCTGGTCTCCAGATTTTCTTGGCTGTTCTCTAGAGTTTCCCATCTCCAAATAAATTCTCACTGATTATCTTAGCCACTTCCCCATAACTCTTCCTAAAGCTATTGTGAAAAGCACATTCCAACAGAAATGAAAATGGAAAATAACTTTCAAATATATACTGATGTCACTACAACAGAAAAAGTATAAATACGTATCAGTGATTCAATAATGAAAACTAATCACTTAAATAACTGAAAGCTAACTGGAATCTCTTCAGAAACACAATAATGAAGAACTTGGAGGCACAGCAAACTGCAAGATCATTTATGAAAAATGTACCAAGGAGATCTGATACTTATCATGTAAGTAACAAACCCCCTCCAGGCCAAATAGTTCCTTTGTATACATTTTGAAGCTTTAAGGAAATTACTGTAAGTTACTTTCTCTATGTTTCTGTAAATGTCTATAATGCTATAATTAATTTATATGACGATATAAAAAATAAATATTGTCATGCATTTCTCATTGACATTTAAAAAAACAAATAACTTGAAATGCTGTCTAGAAAACTGTTCCTACATCTTATTGTTAATTATGAAGAACTCAATCAACTGAGTTTTTATAACGCCCCCAACTTAAAAAACTTCCAAACAAGCCTAATTTAATGCCCTTAAATGGTTGAAAATGCAATGGTAAGGGAAATGAAACAATACAATCCCAAACTGGAGTGCAAACACCGTTTTCGCTGCAGGTTTTGACTGAAACGTTTGTGAACTAATTCTTTTCCAAGGGCATGCTGGAAACAGTAGAGAACGAAGTGACAGAAAGCGGGCGTCTTCTCAGGCAACTTCTTATCCTATTCCAGTTTCTTAAAACATCCCTGGTTGAGATTCTTATGATTAAAAAGGATGGAGAAGTGTTTATAGAAGTTCGTCAGGCTCCTCATTAAAGCTGAAGTCACACACTAGAGACAGGTGGTCTGAAGGGTAATTGAAGGATGGGAGCCGGTTGGGCCCAATCTGTTCTTCAGTGAGTAAATCAAGAGCTGATGTGACACTTAGAGCATGTCTAGAATACCAGATGTAGTCCAAGGTGTGACGGCACTCCCCTGAGGTCCGGATCTTCCAGGTTGTATATGGAGGCTCTGACTGCCCATCCGGACTCAGCAGCTTATAGGCGCTGTTCAGATTGAGGCTGGAGGAAGCAAAGTGTTTGTAGACCTCTTCAGTTGGCTCTGCATTAAAGTCCCCACAGATAATCAGAGGAATCTTGGCTCCCTGTGTGATGTTCTGCAGGTTCTGAAGAAGGTCACAGCCCTGAGCTGATCGGAACCGCTCCCAGCCAGTGCGTGCTTTTAAGTGGGTGACAGCGATGCAGAACTGTCGGCCAGACTCCTTGCACTCCAGGGTCTGTGCAATGGCCACTTGATTAGTTTTCAGCGTCATGGCTGTCAGCCTAATATTGGAACTGTTGATGAGCTTGAACCGGTTTTGGAGAAAAAATAAGGCACAGCCATCTGGACCATTGTTGTGTTCAACATCTAGACATGGTGACCAGGGCTTGGGGAAAAATGTGCCTTGATAGCCCAGTCTACTAAGGAGTGGTTGGAAGGTGTCAAAATAGTGGTCCACCTCTTGGAGGCACAGTATGTCAGGCTGATAGGCCAAGATTTCTTCCAGGATGAGGCATTTCCTTTCTTCCCATTTGAGTGCTTCAAGTGGGCATTGCACAAAATTGTCTTTGCCTTCTCCAAGAGCTGAAAAGAAAAAAAGCAAGGTAGCTGTCAGCTACTACAGAACCATGACCTCAAAGATCTCTCTGGAGGTCTGGCATCTGCCTCCAATGCTAGGACTATTCTAAGTGGCACTAACCCACCTGGACAAAATAACTGCTGTAGTATCTGCTGAAGCAATCAACTAGTTTCTTTTATATTAGGACTATCTCACATAGCTGATTTCTAGCATCTAAACCCTTTGCTTTTAGGTTTAATTAGAGAAACTGTTCTTCATAGTCCTAGGGATAAAAAGTATGTCAACTGAAATAAATATTAGTCTTAACACTGACTATAATAAAGCCATGTGAAGGGTTGGAAAGATGGCTCTATGGTTAACAGCACTGGCTGTTATTGCAGAAGACCTGGGTTCAAATCCCAACACCCACATGGCCTCTAACAACCACCTGTAATTCCAGTTTCAGTGGATCTGATGCTTTCTTCTGTCCTCTGTGGGCACTGCACAACATGGGTACACTTACACTCATGTAGGCATAACACTCATCAACAAAATCTAAAAAAAAAAAAAGAAGCTTAGGTGTGGTAGCCCAGCATTTGGGAGGCAGAGGCAGGTGGATCTCTATGAGATTGAGGCCAGCCTGGTCCACATAGTTGAGTTCTAGGCTAGCTAGGGCTGCAGGGAGACACTGTCTCCAAAAGAAAAAAGAGGAAGAAGAAAAAAAAAGCTATGTGAATTGATATAAACAGGCACTAGTTAGAATGGATGGGACCTGCTTTAAATGGGTATCCTATCCTACTTATGAACACCTAGAAAGACAAAAGAATCCAAGATTGGCACATGTTTAGGGAGGTAGGTTCAAGGGAAGTGTGTAGGTATGAGCAACATACATTGCATACATGTATGAAATTGTCAAAGAACAAATAAAAATACCTTTATGGTTTCCCCCTCTAAAGACAGGGTCTTACTGTTGTAACCCTGGCTGGCCTGGAACTCACAGAGATCCATCTGCCTCTGCCTTCCAAGTGCTGGGCTTAAAGGCCACCATGCCCAGCAAAAATATTTAAAAAGACTGGCAAGCCAAAGGATATGTAAATTAACTCACAAAAGATGCCTTGCTTTTCTTAAAACTTCACTAGATAAAAGGCAATGCTACACAAGAATGACTGATACATCTGGTTTTTAATTAGGCAGATATAGTGAAGGGGACCTTTCTACCATAAAATATTCTAAGCAGTTTTTGTTGTTGGTAGTGGTGCTGGGGACTGAATTCAAGGACCCTTGGCTATGCTAATATTACCACTACTACTACTACTACTACTACTACTACTACTACTACTACTACTACTGGGAGAAGGCCTCCCTTCATAACTCAGGCTGGCCTTGAACTCAGGCAGTTGTCCTGCCTCAGCCTTTTGATGCTGGGATTACAGGTGCTCTTGAGCCAGCACAGCCAGCTCAAGAAAATCTAGCCATATTCCCTAGTCAAACCCAGTCCCACAAAGCTGCCATTCCCAGCAGAAAGTTCTATTACTTAGTTTGTCCCCTGTAACGCTGTGATAGTGCTATGGACCAAAGGTGTTGGCAAAGAAGGTCATCCCACTGAGTTGCTGAACAGACACCTCTACCCTTCCACACTTCTCTCCCCTGCACATCAGAGCACTGGGTGTGCCCAGAAGCAGAAAGGAAGCCATAGCAGATTTAACTGCTCAGGCACAACAGCATCAGGCATACCTTGGGCGAGGATGTTCCACTGCATGACCCTAATGGGAGAGTGGCTACTGGGGCAATCTGTCCTCAGATCCACAAAATCCCTCTGGAACCGGGGTGGCCGAGTGTGCAGGACAGCCCTGCATTCCTCAAGAAGCTCTTTAGGATCAATGGGTTCAAGGTGTTCTGGATCACCTGACACCAAATACTCCGGGTGCTGGGCCACTGAGCTGCTGTTGAGTGTCTTGGCGAGAGCACTGAAGAGTCTGCTCGTGCCGTTGCCCATGGAACTCACTACAGAAGAGGAAAGCAGGGTTATACCACCAGCTCTGAACTCCTCACTGGCCCACCTGCCAAACAGATCATTCACTGTTCACATGGCCAGCTCAACCTAGGGCCAGCCTGCCTCACTCAGGCACCAAGCCAGCTTGACAGAGATAAGGGAGCTTTCAGCCTCCAGGTTTCTACTATGACAGGTAATTCAAATAATGCTGTTAAAAACCTAGTCTCTTACAAAGCTAACTTGTTCTTTTAACCTTGATGACCTCTTCTAACCAAGTACTTGTCTCTATAAACCCACCTAGTTTTATAAAAGCATCGCATAACAAAATCCATTCTTTTTTTTTTTTTTTTTTGAGACAGGGTTTCCCAGTAGCTTCAGCTGGCCTGATGCTGCTTGTTATGTAGATGAGGCTGGCCTTGAACTCAAAGACCTCCACCTACCTCTGCCTCCCAAGTGCTCCAAGTTTTTTTTCCTTTTGGCTTTTTTGTTTGTTCGTTTTGAGACAGGGTCTCCCTGTAGCCTGAGCTGGCCCAGAATTTGCTATGTAGACCAGGCTGGTCTCAACCTCACAGAGATCCACCTTCCTCTGCCTCCCAAGTACTGGAATTAAGGGCATGTGCCAATACATCTGGCTCTTTGGGCTTTTGAAGAAGGGTTTGTAAAGAGTGAAATTTAGCAGCACGGGAAACTTTGGTGACATTAACAACAGCAATTTCTTATTTTGGGTGGCAAGGTGGGGAGAAAAGGAAATGGGACACAGAGGAGAAGTTATTTTGAGGAAATTTTGCCTAAAAAGGAGAAAAATGAAGCAGCAAGAGAATTTCGTTTTGGGGGATGGAAGGAAGCATTATACTATGTTGGTTTGTGAATGGGAGTGATAGAACAGAAGGCAATACTGAAGGAGTGCATTTCTGGCTTCTAGTAATCAGAGGAAGCTTACAAATCCACCCCTTCTCTTTGGCCCCAGCAACTAAAAACTGACAGAATATGAAAAGCAATTATTTCTTACTTCAATGCTCGGATAAAATCCAACAGCACAGAACAAACTGAGAAGCTTTTATTCAGGAAAGCTACTGAAGTTCAGGATAGGACAGTGGTGGCTGGCCTTGACATTCTTGCTTATGGCTGCTTCCATCTCCCACCCCAGCTCTCTGCGAGCCTTTCAAGGAGGGCAGCAAAATTACTGAATTAAGTTCCCACAAAGAAAAGCCCAAGTCCTGATAGCTCCAATGTGAATTTTACTGCTTCTATGTGTAGTCACTACTCTGGAAAACAGCTTAGTCAGGCTTATATATATATAAATTAAACACAGGCTTATTGTACCAGAAGCTCACACCTCTAGGTATTTACTTAATTGAAATAAAAACAAAGATCCAAAAATATATGCGAAATCATTTACAGCAACCAAGATGCCCATCAATATGTGTACAGGTAATACATGTCGAATGTCCATAAAATGAAACACTACCCAGAGATACAAAGGAATAAGCTGTTGATTCATACAAAATGGGTGAACCTTAGATGCATTCTCTAAGTGAAAGAAGACAGGCTCTAAAAGTTAAATTGTGCATTTCCCCTAGGGGAAACCACAGGGAAAAGACGTGTTTGCCCAAAGGTGAAGGATTGGAAGTGGCTGGCTGCAGGGAACTTCTAGGTGATGAAACAGTTCTGTGCAGTGGTGGGTACATGGTTATGCATGTCAAATTCCACAGAAGCAGTCATGAAGAATACATGCTAATTTAACTACTAGCTTAGAAGTTGGAGATCTGATACCTTAACAAAGGAATCTGACTCTATCATAAATGTTTAACCAGCTCCCAAAACAGTTTAGAGGAAAAAAAAAAAAAGGAATTGTGACCTAAGCATCTTTGGAAAGTGTTTCACAGGAAAATATAGGGATAAAAACAGGAGAACTATCCACACACACCGAACTCTAGTTGCTAAAGTTGTTTCTTGTGGGGGACGCTGTAACAGTTCAGAGCCACTAGCTTGTGAACAAATAAGCAAATGGTAAGAGGTGGCGAAGCCAGGAGTGTCCCTAGCCATAAGGATGTTATAAGTGAAGGAGGGAATCCTGTAGTGCTAGAATAAATGATTCCGGGGGGAACTCATGCTTACCTTCCTATGGACATGCACATATAGACATGGAAGAAACTACAGGGTATGTTGTGTGTACAGACATATATCAGATAGAGCCAAGACACAATGGCAGCCAGCACCCTGATCTGTCTAATGTCATTCGCAAATACCAACCCATTCACTCACAAACAAATGGAATCTGGGCTCCTTAAGAGAAATGAGTGGGGCAAAGAAAAGAAAGATGAGCCAGAGACAAGAACCAACCCGAAAGAGACTTCAATGGCGAAAGCCTGACAGTGGAGCAGAATGCAGTGTTTCTTATTATCCATAGGTAAATCTTGATGAGACCGTAATAAAGTAAATAAACAAATGAGAGGAAATAGAGGAGAGACATCTTTATAAAAGATTTTAAATACTTTATGAGAAAGAAAAATTGGGCTCTTAGAGAACCTTGGCAAACCTTATTGGCTAGATGACCTCAATAATATCACAAGAATATTACTTGTGGGCTTTTTTCATTAAGTCCACAATTTTCCGTTTATTTTATGTGTATGTTTTACCTGCATGTAAGTGCACATGTGCACACAATGCTTGTGGAAGCCAGAAGAGGGTGTTGGATTCCCAGATCTTCTGGAAGAAGAGCAAATTCTCTTAACTGCTGAGCCATCTACCCAGCCCCAAAACACACTTTTAAAAAAATTTTATTATTTTTATTTCATGTGTACAAGTGTATTGCTTGCACCCATGTCATGCAATGCCCACATATCATGTAATGCCCACAGAGGTCAGAAGAGGGTGTTGGACCTCTTGGAACTGGAGTTATGGACAATTGTTAGGCGCCATGTGGGTGCTGGGAATAGAACTTGGGTCCTCTGCAAGAACAGCCAGTGCTCTTAACTGCTGAGCCCTATCTCCAGCCCCCCAAAACACACTCTTAACTTCATGCAGAAATGTGACTTTTCCTCTCAGTAGCATGTTTAATCTCCCTTAGGCTACGTTTAAGAATTTCTTAGGTTCCTTAAGTCTTCCAAGTATGCAAAGCTATCACTAACTTCATATCAAATTAAAATAAAAGAGCTACAAATGGCAAAAACCAAACAAAAGCAGGGTATGGTGACACATACCTTTGGTCCCAGCACTCTGTCTCAAATATGTCCCCTAAAAAAAGTGCATTCTCCCCAAACAATAAAGCTTATTTTGAAAAGACCTGACTTACATGTAAAAGCTCAAACTACTATCTGTTTTGTCTGAGACAAAGTCTTACAGGTGAGTCACCATGCTCAGCTAAAAATTATACTTCTAGGGAAAAAGCAAGAGAAAAATCTTTGTGACAGTGAGTTAGGCATGAACCACAAAAGAAACTAATTAAGCATGTGCCCCACCTTACCTGGCCAGTTTGGCATTATTTTAAGAAGTGAAAATCATGTTAGCACATAACCAATAATTTTGCTTTCAGGACTATATTGAAGGGAAATGAAAACCCACATGTGTATCAAGACTGGTTCATAACACTCCTAAGACATGAATAAAATACAGCATTTCTGTGAAATAAAACCAAGGAACTAATGCCTCTAACTTGTTTATAGCAGAGGATGACATTGAACTCCTAATATTCCTGCCTCCACTTCCCAAGTGCTGGTATTATAGACATTTTGCCCTGCTGAAAGAATTTAATAAACCATGTATCACTGGGCATACCTGTGACCCTAATGTTCTACAGAGTTCCAGGTGAGTCAGGGTTACATTAAAAAGACCCTGTCTTTAAAAAACCAACAAAACAAAACAAAAGCAAAGAAAGACTATAACTTTACATAATCTTTTTTCTTCAGCACTGATGACTCTACCTATGGCCTTGCATGTGCTAGGCAAGTGTTCTGCCTCTGAGCTATACCCCCAGATTTTGCACCAAAGCAATCTAAGCATGTCATTCCAGTTCCTACAAGTGCTATGAGCAATATGATGGTGACTGAAATTAACACCTTCACATTTCTAATTAGAGCATTTGATATTGATCCCAACAGTTGAGACTCAAGCTGACAGGCAGTCCTAACTAACAGTACTTAGAAGTCACAGAAGACATCTCTCTAAGGGAGGGTCCTCTAGTTACCAGCATCTATTGCTTCCAGCTTTGTCCAACCATCCAGTCAGTGGACACTTTCTAATAAGAGTTTGAGCTTAGTACCCCAACACGGTAGCCCAGAAAAAAACAATGACTAAACAAAAGCCAGGATTATCCTAGGTATACACCTGGGAACTTGACCAACCTTGGGCCCAAGGAAATCTTGAACATTAAAATATCAACACACCAACACAAGTAATAGCAGTCCAATGCTGCCATCTACTGGCCATGTGTAAAACCACCTCAGAAAGTTGAGATGGCCAATTTGGTAGCTAATTTTTTCATTAGGTTCATTAGAGTAGATTCCTAAATAATATGGCTACTTTCAAAACAAGTGGATGAAAGTACATATGCATACACACACACTCCACTGACATTAGACAGTTTGGGTGTTGAATGTACTGTATATTTAATATATTGTGAAGGAATCAATATTCAAGCTTTCATGTCTAGGTCTATGGACCACACATTGCTGGCTCTTTTTCTTGGCTTGCTACTCTAACTTTAGTTGCTCTTGGATATCTGAACTATACTACTGCCTTCAATTCCCAGGTGCTGGGATTTTATCATGGTGCGCTAGGCATGAGACAGCATGAAGGCAGGGACAGACAGCACTTATACCAGTACCCAGTGTGATGCTTTAAAAACATTAAGAGGGTTGAAGATGCAGTACAGTGGTAAAGTATTTAACTTAGTCTGGCTAGTATCGCAAAATAAAAATTAGTAAAAGGGCAGCAAGTGACAGCCAAGGACAGAGTCTTGTCAAACCTCGACAGGACTGCTTTTCATTTGGTACAGCAATTCTGCTACCTG